TAACAGCCACTTGTTTCGTTTTTTCAAATGGTAGATATTTAAGAACAAGTACAAATTCTCCAAAGAAAATTCTGCTTTACAATATGCTTTGAACAGGTCCATTTGATGCTNTGATTCAAGTACTGAAAATATAGCACCATACAATGATTTCTCAGTCAAGTTGTTTTCTTGTGGCTGTTTTTCTTTTTGATTTTCATAATGGATATAAATCTTTATTAGCAGGTCAACCCGAGAATAAATATGGCTCTTATAAAAACTTATAGTAAAGATAAGAAAAAAAATAGGAGATTCGAATAAGATGGGATAAACTAAACTGAAATTAAAATAAATAAAGATAACATTCGATGACATCTGAAACCTCACTTCAATGAAAACTTACCAAGAATCATTGAGAGCGTAAAAAAGGTTAAATAAGGGTGGGACTAATTGGGTGGGAGTTAGGACTATTTCCACAATTTAATGATACCATGACTTTAAGCAGGAATATTCTAGATGGAATTCTATTTATTTAAATGATTCATCCTCAATGGCTGTAAACGTTTCAGCAAATACCAAGAAGGCTTATCTTTATCAATTGGAAATTGTTGATTCCACCCCAACTTTGCCTTCTTCTGACAAATTGAGTGATGTGATCAAGGTTGTCAATGACTTGGAAATGGAATTATTGTATAACTTGTTGGATACCTATTCTCGCTTCAGTGTATCTGAACCATTCAAACTTTTGAAGAGAATTGATTCAGAGAAAGAATTGTTAGCAAGCGCCTTTGTTGAAAAACAACCCCAAGATTGATGAATTTATTAAATACCATAAACAATAGTAGCTCGTTCTACTAGTATATTCTGAAGATCTTTTGCCTTCTTGTAGATTCTAAATTCTGGAGTGTGAATGAATCTTGAAAAGGTATCACCAATAAATCAAAACAATCAGAAACACTTTGCTTGGTTACTTGTATTTCGTTTGGTTTCTCTGTTTTGAGTTCTGAATGTTTCCTTCAAAAGACAGAGGAATGAATTCTTCTTCCACTTCTTATTTTTATGATCCAAGAACGACTATGCAACTAATCCATTACACTAAATGTCAGAATGCAAACAGTGTACGAAATTGAAACAATATACGTATAGGTGCCTGGCTCAATAGTGTTCAGTCTTCGTAATATTAATTAAAATAACCAATAAATAACATTAATTGAAAATGATAAGGAAGGAGATGTAACAACAAGCAAGCAGCAGTACTATTGAACAACAAGATCCACGAAGCCAAGTACAAGATATGAAGTTAAATCTACACTTGCAAGAGAACATCCTCTTCCACTCCACAATTTTCTTCCTCATCCTATTAATTGCAAGAGAATAGTTCAATATATTGCAGTATTAAAGCATCCACAATGATCTGGACCAAGACAAAAAACGTGTCCAGAACAAGAGAATCAGTCACAAGAACCTTTTCCACTACAGAGCTATGTATTGGTTGTTTCAGAATAGAGAATTCGATTACACTAATAATCTGAACATGATCTTACTGAATATCCAGTAATACAGTAACACGTCTTCCAGAACAAACACTCTTATCTAGTATAATCCATAACAATAGCCAAAACATGAATAATCGTCACAATGTTCCCCAGTCCAAGTATTTCAACTAATCTTGTAGAAGTTCTATTAAAAATTGATTCACCCTTTCCATAGAGAATGGCATCACCATTATTTTGCATAAGGAAACGAAAAGGAGCAGTACCAATAAATAGGATTCGATGTTAAACAAAGCCGGTACTCAATGTACCAGTTCCATAAATTTCCAGAGAACCCTTAGAGGACAATCTCAACTGAAATGGCTCTCTAAAACCACTTCCAATAGAAGGTGTTGTACTAATGATTGCATTAGAATTTAATAAATCATTATACAAACTTGGGAATTGTATAGTTGATGATGAAATATTTCTTCCCATCAAGCCAAACAATGATGAAATTCTCATATTATTACATTAAAAAAATGGCGCAAAAAGATTGGTCATCCACTTTACAAGAATAATAAAAAATGGGTCAAAGTTCATCTAGTATTATTAGATCCAATCCTTCGGAGCAGCATTTTCATTACGAGAGATTTCCCAATAATTTACTAGTGATGGGTTCATATTTCGGTTATTTTGCAACGAGTCACTTTAAGGATTGGCACCGAATAGATTTACATACAAAAAGCAGTCAACGTGATATGTATGATGATCACGATGATGCAAATACATTGAAGTTGTTTGGAACGTTGATGAAGCAGATAGTGGGTGGATCATTGGAAAAGAATTCAATTGATGAGAATAATAATGATAATAATAATTTAATGAGAGAGGATTATGTTCCGAATGTTTCATATCTGAGTGAATTTGCTGAATTGTCGAGTCCTATTGTGCAAGTTGTTAGTTCGGGAAATTGTCAATTATTTATTGATTTGGAGAAGAATGTAAAGATGTATAGGACTTCAAAGTTTGAAACACATGATTTTACAATGAAAAATTTCAGAGTTTTGGAGAGAAATGGATTCGAAAAGAGAAATTTGATAATGATTGGATCAAATCAAACGTATTTTTATTTCATTTTCAAGGATATGACTATTGTAGTGTATAATCATGAGAGAAATCTTGTGCAAGTAATTGATTTTTGTAAGGAAAGTGAGAAGGAAATTATTGACATATCTCGAGGTTGTACTGGAGATTGTGCCTATATTCTCACTAGGAAGCAAGATGAGTATGAACTATTGGTGGAGAAGGATGGTTGTATTGGTAAAGCAGAGATCGGCGATTTGGTAGGTCAACTGAATAATGTGAGATTTCTATCAAAATATGCTGTAGTCACAAATGATAATAAGATTTACATTTTGGCCATGATTATTTCTCACAACCAAGGATTTAAATATAGGGAAACAACCTTTGAAAACAAATCACAAATCATACAATTGGAAAGCGGATTTGATCACTGTGTCGTTCTCACACAAGATGGAAAAGTTTATGCAATGGGAATCAATCAATATTCTCAATGTGGAATGCTTCCAGATCAATCGAATATTGTTAGACAATTTGTTGAAATTATTCCACCAACAATGTATCATTCAAGAGTGTTGCGGATTGGATGTGGATCTACTTATACTGCTCTTCTTACAGAAAGTCATATTCTTATAGTTGGTAGATTTACTGGAAGTACAGGAACTGTGTGTAAGAATAGAATAGTCCATGCAGGTAATGGAACGCCATGGCTTGTTTCTAAAAACTTATTTGGAATTAATGATATTTATTGTGCTGGATGGCATTTATGTGCTATTCAAACAACAGAAATCAATAAGGAAAGACTTTTTGCAAGATTGTTAAATAATTCTCAATGGTTTTCAGATGTAGAAATTTTACTAACTTGATGATATAC